GAAAAACTCATTGCAACGAAAAAATTTTGTTTAAATTTTTGCTGGAATCCATTGAAAATTTACAAATAATTGCATCAGGATATCCATTTGAATTACCAATGAAATCCCATTAGAATATATTTTTGTTGGAATTTTTTTATTGAAATAATAAAATTTCATCATTTTTCTTGTAGTGTAGTGAATGAGAGGGCTCAACCTTATATGTCCACTCTTTCTTTATTCACTCATTTACTTTAAGGTCTATCTACCAATTTTAAACCAATCAAAATTAGTTAGCCAAAATTATAGCAATGATAACCATAATTAGAAGAAAACAAATAATACCTAGGAAAATATATATAAAAATTTGACTAGTGTCATATTTTGCCCCTTGCTACATTGCATTTTAGTTAATGAATAATAAATAAAAAAATAGGTCATTCTTCCACAATACAAAAGATTGTTTGAATGGTCCCTCACTCACTCATCTCCAAATTAATGGTTATTGTCTTGCACCAACATCACATTATGGACAGGAGAACCCATAAGGCATTGAAAGCTTTTTCTTTGGACAAACTCTTGTTGCTTTTGTTGAAAACCGGAAATTTGGCCCATCTTTTTTTTTTTTGGCCATGGCGTGTGATAGGGCAAGAATAAAAGAATCCAAAAAGTGCTTTCTAGACCAAAAAAAATAGAGCATTGAACCATTTTTTTTCACCTTAAAAATCATATCCTACACACGATGAGTTTACCTTTATGCAAGAATTTCTATCCTCCAATACACGGCAAAATATCAAAACTAGTCTCGTTGTTTTTGGGTTTTTCGCTTTTGGTCCCATTAGAATGCTTTTTCTCAAAACTAGTCTTCTAACTTTTTAAATTCAATCAAAATAAGGACAATTGTTGCCGGAACTACCTTTTCCGGCCTGGAGATGACATGTCATCCGACGTGTCTTATTAATATTACAGCTGGCCCATTTAACTCCTGTGTGGCGAATGACATGAAAAAATATCAAAATCAGTCCCATAATTATAGCGATGTTTCAGTATTAGTCCCATTAAAAAAAACTATTTTTTTTTTCTTTTTTACATTAAAAAAATTATTCTTATTATAAATATTTCCACAGTTGTTATTAATATTTCCATAATATCATAGACGAAATATTTACGTAATATATATATATATATAGTAGTTATAAAAATATTTTCAATTAAATTGCCATAACCATTTTCATTCTTATAAAATAATGATATACCAAAAAAATAAAAAAAATATTGTGTATAGTTATGCATTTGATATATATTGAAAAATAAATAAAAAATGATAGAGAAAAGAAAAACAAAAAGGTAAATGTATTCTAGAATAGGGGTGATACATATCAAAATACCATGACACTAATGACTTTTTATAAATTGATATGAGGAGTATTTTCATAAAGTTAAATCTTGAATATTAGAGGATATTTATTATTTTTTTGACACATGTTGATATAAGAATATTTTGAAATTCTTTATAGGCATACAATATTTTTACAAATGTGAAAATTATTTCAGTTAATATTGAATAAAAATACATTTTTACCAAATAAATAATAAAAAATATTTGAAGGAATTTATTTGAAAGGGATCTTGATTTCATAAAAAATATGCGTTAGATGAAAATACCCTATTGTTTTATAAAATATCCTTAATATCATGGTATTTTGATATGCATCACCATGTTTGTAAAATACATATTCTTTCATTTTTGTTTTCTCTATCATCCTTTCATTCATTCATTTATTATTATTATTATTATTATTATTATTATTATTATTATTATTATTATTATTATTATTATTATTACTTTGCAAATGCATAACTATACACAAATATTTTTTTGGTTTTGTTATATCATTATTTTATGAGAATAAAAACGGCCATGTCATTTGTTTGTAAAGTTTGTAGCATTTGCAAAAACATTATTTGATTACATAAATCCAATTTTTAACATTTTAAAAACAATATGTTTATTTCTATATTATCCTAATATCAATAATGTTTAAAATATTTGAAAGTATCTTATGGAAAGATTAAATATTTTGGTTTATCATATTATGGAAAGATCAATAAAAGTTGGGTATATCTTAATAGTGAGATTTTTTATTTTTATTTTTGTGTTTGAATTTTGAAAATGAAAAAAAAAAAATGTTATTTTTAGTGGGATCAATATTGAAACATCTCTATATTTATGGGACTAATTTTAATATTTTTTCCATGTCATTCACCACGCAGGAGTTAAATGAGCCAGCTGTAATATTATTAAGACATATCGGCATGACGTGTCATTTCCGGGCCGGAAAAGGCAGTTCCGGTAACAATTGTCCTT